TTGTATTTGACAGTATATGTGTGCATCTATGTGCATCTGACTGTGTCTGACTGTCTTGGCCCTGCAGTGAGCCGGCAGCCGGGATATAACATCATCCCGGCATCATTACAGGGCACGCAAAGGACCTGTGCAGGAAGAGCACAGATATCCCAGCAACACCTATTCACCACCAGGTACTGAGGATCCACTCAAGCCCTCCCAGAGCAAGGTAGGGAGGCTGTGTGGACCTCTTCATTTTTAAATTTGTCTATGTATGTGATGTTTGTGTGTGTGTATGTCTAATTATGTGCATATGTGATTGTGTGCCTGTGATTGTATGTGTGTGGGTCTGTGATTGTGTTTGTGTATGTCTGTGATTATGCGTGTATCTCTGTGGTTAAGTGGGTGTGTGTTGTGATTGTATCTGTTCATGTATGTGATTGTATGTGTGGTCTGTGATTGTGTGTGTATGTCTCTGATTGTGTGTGTGTACAGATATACACACACACAGACATACATCTATTGTGTTATTGTGTGTATATAAATGTGTATGTGTTTAGTAGATAGCTCCCTTATTAGGTGTCCTTAAATCTTGCAATCACACACAAGGATAACAAATAAGGGAGTTATCTATTAAACAACTGAAAGATTATAATTAAACAAGGGCGTTTTGAATGTTGATCTATTAGCCGTTTAGTAGAAAATTCCCTATATTGGTGTACTTATGTGAGATTTCCATATTTAAAGATAACAAATTAGGGTGATGTTTAGCAGATAGCTCTCTTCTTATTTGGTGTCCATAAATATGCCAATCCCACATAAGGAGAGCAAATAGGGAAGTTATCTGATAACTTGGATCTTTGTTTAAGAGGAGTCAGCCATCCCACAACAAGAAATCTGGGTACCAGTCAAAGGTTACCTCTTTTTACAGAGGGGTGTGTATAACAAAGTGCTTAGACAATAAAAGTGATTTGCAGGCAGCTCAGTACACTTGTGTGGAAATATCCTCTATTCCACTAGACAAGGTTGTGGTTTTCAGTGCGGTGTAAGTAACAAGGGCCTACACCTATAAGTGGAGCGCTCAAACACATATACAGCTTACCAGACGCTATTTCATTCAATGGTAGAGTATAGGGTACAAATTAAGGGAAAAAAACAAGAAGTACAATATAGTGCAGATGTTACTTAAAGTGACAATGCAATAGTAGTGATGGTATCGTAATGAATTGTACACTCACATTTCAAGGAGCCTGTATATAGAAACACTGGCTGCGTATTGAGGCTTGTGTGCTTATTAGTGTAGCACCACCCTTCTACTTTGATGTGGAGTAACTCTCGAAGACAAAAAGAGGGAGAGCGAACCAATGTGTAGATGGTACTTTAAAGACACAATAATGTGTTGATAAATGTGGTGCTCACCTGGTCCTGAGCCTGTGGGTCCTGGCTCTAGGTGTATAGATTCTGTGCCAATTTGAGTGGGGATGGCACTACCCCTTGGAAGATTCTCTGGAGGCTCCAAATAGGACTTAAACGGTGGTCTTGAGTAAAATAAATTTATTGATGTATAATAAAAATAAATAAAAGTAAATATTTTAAAAGTCCTCAAAATAAAAAGTCCTTTAAAAATAGCCAATACGCATTTCACTCTTAAATAGAGCTTCCTCAGTCAGCTGTAGTGTTGGTCCTCTGAATCTTCCATTTTTAAATGTCCTTAGGGTCTTCCCCTTTAATGAGCTTAGTACATTTTGTCCAATCACAATAGGGTTTACATTTTCTTCATATGGGGGAATATGTGTGTGTTCCTTTAATAGGATTAGATTTCTGGCGCCTTTACTTCCTATAAATTTCATTGGTGGGCAGTGGTGGTTGGCGGAAGTAGTCCGCATGCGTCTGGGCGGTTGGCAGAAGTGACGTCATGGACCCATGTGATCGTCACTCAGCCGCCGCCCGGAAGCTCCCTGACTCCCCGGTCATGCCGCACATCGCCCATGGGTGCAGGCCGGGGGGAGGGGATTATGATGTACACAGTCCACGGGATTATGATGTAGACAGTCCACGGTCACGCTGGCACGCTCCGCCCCTTACGGCTCAAAGTAAATTTAGATACAATTCTAGGAGAATATCAGATATCCCCACTCACAACCGATTCGAACCCCTAACAAAAACCTCAGAAGAAGAGGATTTTTGGAGTTTGAGGAACAAGGACAAACACAAATTCCTCTCACGCCAAAAATCCCCAAACAAAAGACGAAGGAGTACGGAAGAATGGGAATTAGAGGAGGAGTGGACACACAGAGCAGGAAAAAGAGACAAACGCAACTCATAAAAACACAAAAGGAAATTGAGAAGGAAGCAGGTATTTTTAACCTCACCTCCACAAAATTGGATCGGACACACATTGAATTATTACAAAAAGGCCTAAAATTTGCACCCACAAGGAATCTAAACAAATTTGACACTTATGTAGATTTGAACAAATTCAAAAGGCACGCTATGTCTTAAAAAGTTTATTCAAAAAATTCCAATATCAGAAACCTAACCGTAACAAAATACACACACACACCTCATTAAAGGAGAAATCCACTTTTTTCCCCAAACACTTAATCTCAGGAGAAATGGCTACCTACGAGAAAATGGTAATATCAGATATTAATAAATTAAAAAAAGCCAACCATTATCAACAAAATCTCAAAAGAGATTAATATAAGGTTTTAAACAAACTACAGAAGGATAATGACATTGTAATTAAACCAGCGGATAAGGGAGGGGGAATAGTCATTTTAGACATTAAAGATTACCATACAGAATGCATGAGACTACTGACAGACCAAACCACGTATACAAAATTAAATAGTGACCCAACAGGTGAAATTAAAAACAAATTTCTCGACCTCATTAAGAGGGGCCTACAAAAGGAGATTTCGAACAAAAAAGAATTTAAATATCTCAATGTAATCCATCCAAAGATTCCCGTATTCTATTATCTCCCTAAAGTCCATAAAAACCCCGAACTCCCACCCGGAAAACCCATAGTTTCAGGTATCAATTCTATATCATGTAGACTTTCGGAATATGTGGACAAGTGTCTCCAACCTATAGTGCAAAGTACCCCTAGCTACTTAAAAGACACAGGAAGTATTCTCAGACATTTACAAACCATTAAATGGGAACAGGACTACTTTTTAGTAACTGCGGATGTTAGTTCGTTATACACCATTATTTCACATCAGAAAGGTTGTACAGCAGTGAGATTCTTTTTAGAGCAATCACATGCTTTTGAACCAGATCAAATTGATTTTATTATGGAAGCAATACAACTAATTTTAACTAGCAATTACTTTTGGTACGATGACACTTTTTATTTACAGGCATGTGGCACGGCGATGGGCACCAGGTTCGCACCCAGCTACGCCAATCTGTTTATGGCAGATTGGGAACGCCAACATTTACAACTCAATGAAGGCTGGGTGGAGGGCCTGGTGACCTATCGCCGTTACATAGATGACCTGTTTTTTATTTGGAAAGGCACTGAGGATACACTCCATACCTTTTTAAATCAACTAAACAATAACGAGTGGGGTATCATTTTATCAACTAATTTTAGCAAACATACTGTTACATTTTTAGATCTAGATATTTTTATAGACAATAAAAAGGTAAAAACTAAAACCCATTTTAAAGATGTGGACGTCAATAGTTTTATTCACATTTCCAGTTGCCATTTTTCCCCATGGCTAAATAGTGTACCCAAGTCACAACTTATACGAATCATTACCTATAATATGCAACTACAGTTACAATAATAAAGCACTCAGGAAAATCCTAAACAAACATTGGCCCATTCTACTACAAAATGCCCTATCACAAATCCTACCAGCTAAACCCAAAATAGTATTCAGGGGTGCTAAAAACTACTAAAAACTACCACCAAGGAAAAGGCTTTTATGGATGTGGCTCATGCCTAGCATGCAGGAACACAAACAATAGAAAAAGACATATTAAAAAAATGTAAGAATTTTAATAATGAGGAATTTCCTATTAAAGACCTCATAACCTGTCATTCAAATAACATAATATATTTATTGGAGTGCCCATGTGGTTTAAAATATGTGGGTCGCACCAAACGGAAACTACACACCAGGATTGAGGAGCACACTAGAAATATTAAGAAAACATTTGAGGGACATAGTGTATCACACCATTTTTCCCTGACACACAATAGTGACCCTACGCATTTAAAATTGAAGATTATGCTAGCGCAGTGTACTGATAATCTTAATTTTAATAATGACAGGAGGCGAATATTTGCATTAACTTTCTTTACTAGCTCCATAGCAGCAAAGAAAAAACTCTTAAAGAAAAGAACCAATCAGAATGAAACAGAGGATATATAAGCCCATGCATATCCCATCATTCCCTCTTGAGTAATGCGACATCACAAGTCCCAAAGAAATATGACAAACGTGTCAAATCCAACTTGCTCCAGCTTGACGTAGTGATTTCATTGTTGAGAATGAGAAGGATTTTCAGTCACTCCGTCCTCCATGAAGCTTGTTAAACTGAAAGGAAAGAGAGACTAATATCAGTGATACGGAATTAACCGTAGACCCCAAATATCTGATTAGAAGTGTAAATTCTCCGTCATTCCAATACGTCTCATCCTACAATACCCGTGATCTAATTGAACTACAATATCCAGATGACAACACTCTCTATTCTACAGCCCTTGAAACCCAAATGCAACAACGGTTACCATTATCCCTATGGATCATAACTTACCTCGTCGTTTGGGTGGGAACATCAAGAGAAAGGGGTGGGAAAATATTTGCCTCCTGTCATTATTAAAATTAAGATTATCAGTACACTGCGCTAGCATAATCTTCAATTTTATAACATGACAGGAGGCTTCATATTTGCATTTTTAAAGCTTAGGCAGAAGGGAGAATGCGGCATTAGTCGACTGTCGGAAGTAAAAGGTCCGGAATGTCGTTTCGCGTGACCAGTCCGCTGCTTGGAGAGTATCCGCCAACGATGCCCCTGCCAAAAAAGCTGAAGACGCCGCCGCACCTCGTACGGAGTGCGCTCCGAAGGACGATTCCACCCCCGCCAGGGTGAGGATCCATCTAATCCATCTTGATAGTGTGGTGGTCGACACTGGACCATGAGGTTTCACGTATGATATCAGTAGTTGTCGGGAGTTCGGTCGTCGTAGCGACCCCGTTGTCTCTATATATGTTCTCAATGTCCTAACCACACATAGCTGGGGTTCCGATGTAAAGAAGGGGTAAAATACCGACTTCGAATCAGTCTTGGTTCTCCGGGAGAGTTGGAATGTAACCCCATCTGGGCCAATAGAAAAAGCATCAGCATCAAACGCCCGTATATCTGAGACGCGGCGAAACGAAACCAGGCTCAGGAGGAAGGTGAATTTCGCCGTCAGCTGTTTCAAGGATAAGTGTTCATTTGAAGGCCATTCCTTCAGGAACCGGAGTACCACATCCACATCCCAGAGATGGTGATATTTTGGTGTCGGAGGGCGTCTCATTTTAATCCCCCGTAACAGACGACAAACCAAAGGGTCTTGTCCGATTGCTCTCCCCTGGGACGGAACGTGAGCTGCAGATATGGCTGACCGGAGTACGTTGATGGTGCGATACGATTTACCTTCTGCGAAGATGGATGACAGAAAATTCAATATCTCGGGTACAGGAGCCGTAAAGGGATCCAAACTCCGTCCCACGCACCAATTGGACCAAGTTCTCCATGCCGATAGGTAGTTTCTCCTAGTTCCCGGGGCCCATGAATCCCACAGTAGGTCCCTAGCTGCCGCCGATAATCCGTGGGTGTCCCATGCGCCCCTGAAAGCGTCCAGGCCACCAGCGGTAGGTGATCGTCCAGAAGCATGGGATGTGGGTTGCCCAGTGGATCCTTGAGCAGGTATGGGTCGTTCGGTAGGAGGAGTGGATCGTTGCACGATAATTCGAGTAGGTCGGGGAACCAGGGCTGGCTCTGCCATAATGGCGTCAATAGTGTTAGCATCACTCCCCGTTGTCGAACGTGATGAAGTACTCTCGCAATCAGTGCGAATGGAGGGAAGGCATACGCCCCCTGACTTGGCCAGTGTTGAGTGAATGCGTCCACCGCTATGCACTCCGGGTCCGGGAGCCAGCTGTAAAATCTCGGTAGTTGACGGTTGCTGCGTGACGCAAAGAGGTCGAGGGTGAATGGTCCCCTCTGTTCGTTCAGTTGAGCGAATATCTTGGGGTTCAATCGCCAGTCGCTGGCGTCTCTCCAATGTCGTGAGTACCAGTCCGCGGTAAAATTCGATTCCCCTGGTAGGTGCTCGGCCTTGATCAAGATGTTGCGTGGGAGGCAGTAGTCGAAGATCTCCTTCGTCAGGTTAGCTAATGTTTGTGAGCGAGTCCCTCCTAGATGGTTGATGTAGTGTACTGCGGAAAAGTTGTCCATCCGCAATAGGATACAGCAGTTGGATTGTCCTTTTGTCAGGCTGCGAATGGCGAAGGATCCAGCTAGTAACTCCAAACCGTTGATGTGCATGGTGAGTTCCTGGTTCGTCCAGATCCCGCCTGTGGACATAGATCCATCCGTGGCGCCCCATCCCCATCGGCTCGCATCGGATTCCAGAATGAAGTCCGGGTGATTGCCAAAAATGGCTCGACCATTCCATGCCTGCATGCAGTTGAGCCACCATTCGAGTTCCTGGCGGACCTCGTCCGTCAGGGGAACCGGCTGGTTGTATGTGGGGTTCTGCCTGAGGAAGCGGGCTTTCAACCGTTGCATGGCCCGATAATGTAGTGGTCCTGGAAATATGGCCTGGATGGAGGAGGATAGCAGACCCACAATCCGTGCTAGCTGGCGGAGGGGAATGGATTCAAGTTTGAGGACGTTGCGTATCTCTTTTCTGATGGCCGTTACTTTGGTCCTCGGCAAGTGCAGAGTGCAGGATCTGGAGTCTATGTCGAAGCCCAGGAATTGAACCGTGCGTTTGGGAGTCAGTGCAGATTTCTCTCTGTTGACAATAAATCCCAGCGATTCTATCAATTGGATCGTGTATTCGGTGTGACGTGACGCTTTGTCGCTCGTGTTGCAGAAGATGAGTATATCGTCCAAATAGATGATACATCTGATGCCTCAAGCCCTGAGGTGAGCTACCACTGGTTTCAGCATTTTCGTGAAGCACCAGGGGGCTGAGCTGAGGCCGAAAGGGAGGCAGGTGAATTGCCACGGGGATCCGTGCCAGAGGAAACGAAGTAGTGGCCAGCTGTCTATGTGAATAGGAATCGATAGGTATGCGTCTTTGAGGTCCAGACGCGTAAACCAGTCCCTTTCTTGTAGCAAGTCCCTTAGAAGGTGGATGCCTTCCATCTTGAAATGGCGGTAGACCACGTGGGCATTCAGGTCTCGTAAATTGATCACCGGTCGGAAGTCTCCGGTCTTTTTTCGCACGAGGAACATGTTGCTGAAATAACCCCCCGGGGTATGTGCGGGTTGTATCGCCCCTTTCCTGAGGAGTTCGTCCAGTTCCAACTCGATGAGTTGGGAATCCGTGGTGGTGAGGCATAGGGGCCGTGGAGGCCCGTGTTGCACGGGGCGCGACTGCAGTTCGATGCGATAGCCCCCGACCGTTTGCAACACCCATGCGTCCGTGGTGAGACCTGCCCAATTCTGGGAAAAAAGAGAAACACGGCCGGCAGTCATGGTTATTAAAGACATAGGTGTGTTTGGTTTCCTTACCTGTGGGAAATCGTGCGCGGGTACGTCCGCGGGCTCCCCGGCCTCTATCTGTTCCCCTTTGGAAGTGGGAGTAAGACTGCCTCGTTCCGGAATCCGGGTAGGACAGTTGAGGGTAAAACTGTTGCGGAGGTCCAGTGCGGGGGCCCGATGGCCAGAAGCGGCTGGTGGCACGGCCCCGCTGCCGACCAGCCCTTGAAAAAACACCCCTGGAGGGGTTGCCCCTGAAGACCTTTCTCATAGAGGTACGAGCCTTGTTTAGGGACGTGAACACGTTCACGTGTTTATTGAGCTCCTTCATAAACGCCTCTCCGAAAAGTTTGCCCTGTGCCAGGGGGCCTAATTCTTTGATCCCAAGGTCGGCCAGCTTCGGGTCAATTCGAAACAGTGCTGCGCGGCGCCGTTCTGTTGAAAGGGCCGCATTCGTATTCCCCAGGAAGCAGAAGCCCCGCTGGGTCCACTCTCTAATATCATGCGCCCAGTTGCGCACCATGTCCGCGGTAAACGAGTCCGCTCTGGTATAGGCGTCATCAGCCAAATACATCACTCGGGCCAGTGGCCCCATCGCATCTAGGAGCTTGTCTTGTGCCCCTTTAAAGCTCCGTTCGATCCCCCTGCGTGGATCGCGACCACCCCGTTCCATAAACGTCAGCATTAGCTGGTCAAACTCTGGCGTAAACGCCACTTTGTCTGGCAGGGAAGGTCTAGGGCACTCGGCCCGCATCCTCTTGCGGACGTGCTTCTCGAGCGGTTTCCGAATCCACAAGTGCATGAACTTCACCAGGTGGTCGGGTGGAGCCCACTCCCCGGAGCGGGGGTGACGGATGTTCCTGGGATCGAACATGCGTTGTCCCGTAGTATCCAGGAATGTCTCTTGCTCCTGGCTAGCAGATGTCGTGGAAGACTCTGCCAATCCTGTCTTCTGGGGCTCACCCAGGAATGTTTCTGTGACATAGGCGTTGGATCCCCAATCGCCGTCGTCCGAATCCGACGCCTCTGCCTGCCACTCATCCAGGACGGACAGGGTATGGGGCATCTCACCTTCCTCCTCCGAGGAGGCGTCGGGAAATGTTGTAGGCACGGGTGTTATCGGTGCATGACGCTTGAGAGGCGCCTTGCCCTTTTTTGGGGCTTTCCGAGACCCTTCGCCCTTCCAGTGGCGTTTCGTCGGGCGTTGCCTCTCTGGGGAGGAGTCATCGGAGTCACCGGACTCGTCCCTGGGGCGACTAGACTTGCCAGGCGGCTTGAGGGTGTCAGAAGCCGTCGGAAGTACCAGTGCCATGGCCTTTTCCAGTGATGCGGCTACCGCCGCATTAATCATGGCTTGCATCTGGTCCGCGGAAATCTGTGTCTCCTTTTCCATGTTATGAATTAGCTGGCAGGCACAGGGCGGAGAGGTATGGGGACGGTATGGGAGGGTATGAATAAGAGGCCGGCGGCCGGTTAGGGTATAACGCTTAGTAGCGTGAAAGTCGGACTCGCACTGGGGCTCACCCAGCAAAGAGGGAAGTTGCTTTAACAAATTCCCGTAAGCAGCACTGATATGGGGGCTCACCCCGTGCCAGGGTACTAGTACAAAACTGACTGGCAATTCCACTCCCAAAGGGTTAACAAACCCAAAATATACAGGTCCCCTTTAAGGCTCTAACAGTAAAACTCACTTTTGCAGCAGCTTTAGCAGGCAAACCCAGGAGCTCTCCAGAACACAGGCTCATTCTGTGGTGGAATCTCGGTAAAAATAAATTTAGTAGGCCGAGATTACCACGTGGCATGTGTACGTGCATATGCTGACGTATCGATCAGTTGGTTGCACGAGGCAAGATACGATCAGTAGTGTACGGAGCATGTGCAAGAATACAGGATGTAGTATTCCCCTCCTCCATTGTGCTGGACAAGCCATGCGGTCAAGCAGGAAGTTAATTCTTATTTGTAATGATTGGTCAAGAGAATGTGCGGGTGGAGCTTAATATGGGAGGAGTTATGTGCCTATATAGGGAGCCTGCACTATTGTTCAGGGCTCAGAACTTGCTGTATTTTTGGTGACATTAGTCCCTCTGAGTCCCGATCGGTGATCCAATAAAGAATCTCTTCCTTCCTGAAGAAACCTGTGTCCATCTCTCTGTGCTTTGCTTCCGTCAGTTTCTCCGGTATCATTTGGTGCATTGGCCGGGAAGCTCATCGTTCAACGGTAGCTGAGAGGCAGAGGCGTGAGACGGTCTATCTTTGCCCACGTTCTCTACGGCTGCACCCCTGAACTTCTGCGTGGACCTCCCTTCGTCTCGGCGCCACTGGTCTGTTGTCCAGGAGATCATCGGCCTCTACGTAAGAAGTGCTGGGGTGTCCCCGTCGATGAGTGTGAACTCAGGTTCAGGAACGAGGAGGTAAGACAACTGCTGTTTTAGACGGCAGACCCACTAGGGGTATACCGATTGTGCGGTAGGCCCAAAAGGGGTTTAAATCTGTGTATGGAATCTGCCCCCTCTGTCGGAGGGAAGGAGCGAAGGCGCACCGCTCGATCGAACGCTCTTTAGTAAGACCGTTTGATCTGGTTAGTCAGGCGGGGTCCTGTGTAAATAGCCCTAGCCGGACACCGGTGTCTTGTCTAGACTAGCGTTCTAGGGTGTATATTACGTTCGCTAGGTCGGAGGGACCGGGAGACTAAGCGGCGCCTGTGTAAATTCGGTTCGCTAGCTCTCAACCTATCTTGGCTAAGTGGGAAGGCGTGTAAATTTGGAACCCACTAGACTTTTGATAGAGTAAATAGACTAGAAGGGCAATTTTGTAAATTTCGCCCTCTAGTTCGCTATATGTGGTGTTTGGGCAGTGTGGCTAACCAAAACGGGTGTA